AGATGGTTTTGTATTTTTCGCTCTCCGCTTATAAAAATTGCCAAATTTTATCATCCCAGGCAAGCATTGAAATGCACAGATACAACATTGTATTTACACTAGCTATATCACCATATGTATCAAATTGTAGGTGTCAAGCATAACACCTACAATTTAAAATTACAATAAAAATAGTAATATTTTTACTGTTTTTTTTTTTTCAATTCAATGTGACGCGGGTAATGAAAGCTATTTGGCTCTCTTCGCTCCAATGCAGTATCTACTGGATATTCTACATATCTTTATCCCTTTCTTGTTTATTTTCAATAGTTTTTAACTTATATATTACATTACTTTAATTTATATATTTTTCACACTGATATTTATTATGGCTGCCATTTGACATACGAGATACTTAACGGCTCCCATTTCCGAACTGTGGGGTAATGGGAGCGAATGACATGTTTTAGTTTTTTCTTTTTAATCAAATATTGTATTTTAGTTTCATTTTTTTTCTCATAAAACATGGATACGTTGACAAGTAATAAAAATTTAAATTGAATAAATTATGAGTTTTATTATCAATTTTTCTTAGTAGGCTCCTATTCCCCCACGCTCCCCTATCACCTATTCGCACTAAGCGCTTTCCTTGCTCCTTTCTGACGCGTACGGCAAAGGAAGGGAATATTCTACTGTATTTCCCAAAAAGTACAATTTGGGACTACTCAAGGCTAGACTGAATAGGCATTTTTTAGGCAAACGCATCTCATCGTCGGTCACATCCTCGCTTAACATCAGGTGACATTGTGGCCAAGCGTGTGTCTATTATATATTTAAAAAAATCGAATCTAAATGGCATAATTATTTGTTTTTTCAAATGAACCAACGTTTCTTTAAAGCGCCTTCAAATTAGATGCTTGTAAAAGCACTGCAGTGGCGCCAGTCCCCTCAGATTACGGTTCAGTTCCTCTCTGTCTAAAACTACATTAAACGTCTTTCTTTCAATGTGCCCTCTATAAAAAAAATTAATATGTAACTTTTTATTTAATCATTTGATTACTAGAGAACATGATTTAAATATCACGTTTTCATCTGCTTAAATGCCTAACGTATAAGTAAAAAACCTAATTTTGAAAGAGTCTCGAAAGTCACGTTTTTCCCGGGATTTTCGAGATCGTACCGAGTCTCGACTTTTTTTTCCCGGAACAAGCCTTAGTCGTAACACGCGCGCACCACTTTTACAGTCACAATTACTGAACTAAAAATTACTGAAACGCTAAAGACGCGCGGCTACCGCGCCACAGTTGCTATGTTGCTATTTTGCTATGTTGCTAATTTTCAGGTTGCTTTTCCCTACCCAATTCCGGTGGCAATTTTTCTTCATCTTCTTGTTCTTTAGCCGTTATCAACCTCTAAGGTGTAGGCCTCCGTTAGTTTATGCCATCTATCCCGGTCTTGAGCAATTTCAAACCACTTTGTTCCCACCAGTGCTTTGATATCGTCGTACCAACGCATCTGTGGTTTTTCACTTGGGCGTTTTCAAACCTAAGAATTCGACATATCTATTGGTTATACTAATGATAACAGTATAATTAAATATGTATTCATGATAGATGTAGTCGGTTCTAGATACGCCTCATCCAAAGTATATTTGATAGACGATTTGAAATTTATTGTTGAAATTTCAAAATATAAAATCGTATAAATTTCATAAATCCATTCGCTGGATTTTAAGTTGCGATTTGCTGTATTCAGAAGCGTTTCAAAAATATGCAGCATTTACGTTTTAGTCTGTAATTTCAGACAGTATTTGAAATTAAATGGTTAGGGGTCTGTTATCATAAAAAGAACAATAACACTGAACGGTCTTTAAAACCGTTTAGACAGTGTATAATGTCTGTGCGTATGTGTCAATAGCATTATCGTGCATACCGAGGGGTATTAAAGTTAGATTGCCGCGATGTTTGTTTGTCTAAATACCTCTTAGTGTTTGAAAAATGGAAATTTAGTTAGATATTTATAATTTAATGGAATTCGATACAGTCGCTCCTAGAATTCTTTAGCTCTTAGCATAGAGATGGCTCTTAGCAAAAATTTCTATTGGATTCTATTAAAATTGACCGCACCTCTGAAAGGTCACTATAACAGCTCCAGGCAGTAGGTCTTTTTTCTATCGACACGCGCCGAAGCTTTATGGTTACAATACTGCGAGATTTAGTTAAGTTTGAATAAATAGAGTGAGTCATCTTTGTAACTAAGTTCATTTATTTATTTGCATTTCACATAGATGATAAACTTACAATCACATACATGTAGATACCCTGTAAGGGTGTCGTAAAGTTCCAATGAAATTTAAATATATTGCACGCTTGAAATTAGTTATTTAGTTCAGATAATGAATTATATTATTGATTTTATAATTATTAATAAACATCATTATTACATTGTATTTATATCTTAAAATGAGTGAAATTATTGTTTTTATAAATTATCACAAACGTTTTTATTACTACATTTAATTTCATTTGTTAATATTAATATATTATTAATTTCATTATTGTTAATAAAAATTAATATTAAAGCAAAACAGCGCTGTTATTATAGGCAAAAAGTTGAAATTACAGTCTATTACCTTATTTTGCTTTGTTTTGGTTATATTTCACTACTGGTTTCCTTAAAATACAATGAATTAATTACCTGCATAAGGCTGTGTCTTTTATTCACGCAGTAGAGTATAACGATTGTCAGATAAGCTTATGGAAATTAACGGAGAAAATATGCTGCAGCAACGTTGCTAGATCAACCAATTCGTTGTTGTCGACCAAGAGCATGAATTTAATATCATGATAGTCAAACATCGTGACATTCAATAAAATTTAAAAATTACAATTATTACAGCGACATCTCTAGTCAGCTGCTGGTAGCTGTAAAGATACCGGGCTGAGCGAAGAAATAGATTTCTCATAAAAAGTCGTAAAACCTAAAACCAAAGATCTGCAACAAGCACATACAAAAATTCGTCAGGTCCGTTAGTTCGTTTCGTGGCTTAGTTGGCATGGCGTTATACACGGTTTGCTGGAAGACGTTGGTTTGAATCCAGCCGGATCGAAGGATTTTTTTTTTTTGCTTTAACAATTATTAGAAACTAATGGAGTAATTTCACAAAAATAATTATATCATGGTGGTCGAACATCGTGACATTCAATAAAACTTAAAAATAAAAATATTATTTCCGCAATTCAAGCCTATAGCTACGTAATATATATATGATTATTTTGTTAGGTTCACGTGCGAGACCATTATTTTATCACGGTCGTAGTGATTTGGGGTTTACACGTTTGAACAATGCGTGCGAGCGACTCGGATGTAAATTCAATCATAGAATTAATTAGAAATCTTCGTTCTTAATTACCAAGTCCCAAATCTTAAATCAAAGACATATATTATTATGGAGAAATATGTGTATGAAAAGCTTTCCTTAGTTCGGTAGGAAATCGCAACTTAGATGTAGGTAATAAGGCCACATCTGCAAAATGACAACTGTTCCCAAGAGAGGTTCAAAGGTTATACGAATGAAATTAGTCGATAACCTTTTTATGCTTAAGAGTTGATACTACCTCACCTTGAATTCAAATTTTTCCCGTACTGAATGAGTTCTATTGCGCGGCTTTAAAATTACATGTACACACAATCTGTTCCATGTACTTCGTATTATTTTTATGACTTTTCGGTGATAAATTCCTGTGCCTATTTGACGTATGACCACGTGTGGCATTATTATACCAACGGAATGAAATATTCACGATTCGAAACAATAGTATCATTTTCATTGAATTGTTATTCAATTATTTTTTGTGTGAAATTACTGCAATAATTTGTTAAAATTATTAATACAAAGATCGCTCTCAGAAAAAATTCCTTCGATCCGGCCGGATTCCAACCGACGTCTTCTAGCACCGTACCAGACGCTATATGCTACGGAACGAACCAGCGGACCTCACGAATTTTTCTATGTGCTTTGTATTTGCTTTGTCGATGACTTTTTAAATTGACATCTCTAAATCGCAAAGATCTGAGGGGTACTGCCACAGCACCCGTTACCTTGAGACATAAGTTGACAAGTCCCATGTGCCTGTAATTTCACCGTTTTCGACGTATGATCCCATGTGGTTGTATTGTTTAAACCAAGGGTATGAAATACATTTTACATAGTGTATATTTAATACTAAGTTTTCATGTTAGCGTGGTAATGACAACAAAATTACTTAACATGCATATATCAGTAGTACCTATTGACCACGCCGAATACCGGCCAAGTGACGGGATTTGATTAATCACGCCACGCATGTCTGTGGACGTGACTTAAATGCATAGAACCTGGTCATCTACAGATACGTGCTCTCTCTATGTAATTCAATGAATTATTGTTAAGACGTGAAGTATGGGCTGTCGGTTTGTATACGGTAATATATGAACTAAGTTTCTGATGCATGTGCTGTTATGGTTATTCCTCGAATACAGCCGACTCATAAAGACTGTAAAAGCCGTATTTCAGTCGAGCGGCTGAATATTTGAATATTTAGAAAATATAAAAAAAAAAATCTTGAAAGCAATACCTGTATTGTGAAAATTCAAATATTTAGACATCTCATACGAAGATGGATGAGGTAGATTTGTTTTACACTATTAATCTGGTTGACATTTTTACCATCTTAGTCTCCCGTGACTATGGGACCGATGAAAACCCGTGACCGCGAGTTGCTCGTCAGGTAACGTTGGTGATTACTGCACGATATAAAAGCTACGTTTCGGGTTTTGAAGGGTAAAGGCGAATTTATACGACACAAATTCGCTGCAGTTAGATGCACGCGGTCGCTATAGGGTATAAAAAATTAGGCCGTAATAAGTTTCAATATTTTATTGTAACAAAAACGTTTTTAAATTATAAATGAGTACTTCACTTTTAAACTACTTAGTAGTTTCTCCAATGATCTGATTATTTAGTCTAGCGATTAAAATTCTCATGAATAAAGGCACAGACTGCAGCACACTTAGCTTAAAATTTTATGTTTTGGGTCGTTCTTATTCTTGATTCTCTTATTCTATAGTTTATCTTATGTTTACAATGGTATGTGCTACGGAATAGAGGTTTTTACAAGAATCATGCAAATCTTTTTTAGTGCATGAGGAATATGTGACGATAAACTAAAATGTGCTTGACGAGGAAATTAATACTATGAAAGTATATCCATGTATTGTCATACAAATTTCTTTATTACAAACTCGATGCAGTCGCTAATCGTCTACCTTTACACATGCGCGCGATTATAAGCAGCGATGCAAACGCGATGCAAGCGCGCGACTGCATCGATAAAACGCGCGTTTGCATCGCTGCTAAAAAGTCACCGTGTGTAGCTCTTAGGTAAAAAGTTGGGACTTTCAAAAATTTTTATGGCATGTATCACATCATAGTGAGGCCCTGAATTAGTTGTAGGTTACCGCGTTGATCAGATTTAGGCAATCCTCCACGTATTCGTCCGTTGAAAGCCAAAACTATGAAGAAAAGAAAACAATTAATATTTATGTCTATTTGAAACAGTAATACATTGTGATAATGAGGGTGATTTGTGTTACTGCAAAGTATAAAAATACTGCATAAAAATAAGAACGAATTGATAAAGAAAATTTTAATTTATATTTTTTATATGCTTGAAAATTGATACAGAGGCAGGAGTTGAAAATGAGATTTAAACTTAGGTCATAAAATGTAAACTTTTTTTTATTGTGCAGATTAATGTAGTTTATGAAATAAGCAGAACTTTTAGTTTGTGTTTTCTTTTTGTTAAATGTATTTTGTGTGTCCTGTACAATAAAAAACTAATAATGGCCCATGTTTGCACGTGGGTGCCGGATTAGGAGGTCTCGGGTTCGATTCTCGGTAGGATTAATTTGGAAATGAACTTTTCTAAATTGGTCCCGATTTGGTTGTTCTCGGTAGTGAACCAGAGTGAAATCCGTTTCTCTGGTAGCCATAGTACAAGGTAAACAGAATGAATTCTTGAGTAATCTTCTATCAGACGTATTTATGGTAATAAAGTTATCATTATTAGTGGACTTATCTATCTGATTCTTTAGTATAAACCGTGTTTGCCATGAATTTGTTTTGGAGCATTCTTACGTAACGTTAAAATTTTAATCATCATCATCGATCAATATGTCTCACTGCTGTGCATGGATCTCCTCTCAGGCGAGGGTTTAAACCATAATTGCCACACTCACTCAATGCTGGTTGGGTTAGGTTAGTAGTAGTAGACTTCACACATTTTTCAAGGGTTGTGAACCTTCTCCGACGTGCAAGTTCTTCAAAGAACTCATGTTAAGTATCAAATTAAATTTTACACATAAAGACCGAGAAACTCAAAGGTGCGAGCCCGGATTCGAAACCACGTCGTCTGCTTGAGAGGCGGTAGTTCAAACCATTAGGCTCAACTCACACTGGCGCAGAGTTGAAGCGTCGCGACGCGTTATGTTTTTTGCCTATAGCATTATTCATCTCTATTTTCCCATTATTAAGGTACAAATTTGTGTTATGCAAATATGGAGTCAAGCGTCGGGCGTTGGTTGCAGTCGAGCGGCTTCGTTGCGCGTTACTTGAGCGCAGTGAGGCGTCAGACGCCGATCACACTGTAACGCGCGTCGCCAGGCGTCGTAGTTGAAAAACAGGTCGCGACGTGACACTTCGACTCTGCGCTAGTGTGAATTGGGCCGTAGTCTATTGAAAACATAATGAATATTAACACTATTCCTATTTGGTCAAAAATAAATTCAAATAATGCATACTAGCTTCAGCAGGCCTATCTTCTGCGGCAAATTGACGCTCACCGGCTGGTGAATTAAAATCTCTCCCGTCTTCACCACCGACACCACCAACAGGGATCCTGAACACAATAATAAACACCAGCGTAAATACCAGAAAACTCCAACGTTACGAGTAACAAACAACATTTGGTATTTACAAACAACGTTAGTAAACTTTTATTTAATAGACAAAATTTTTGTCTATTTGCTCTTTGTTGTAGTGTTGTGAAATTTTATCTCGATTATTCATTGACAGTTAAAAACTGGTCAGCAAATATTAGAATGCGAATTATATGGAAAACGAGTGTCTATTATGTTTTTTTGAAATAAATTATCCTAAAACTTCACATTTGTTACTTTTACTCACAATACCCGTGCTCTTTTCATTGGATTGCGGTAAATACTTTCTTCCGTTCTTGCTATGTTGTTATTTGAATTTTGTTTACGTACGTCGCAACATTCCTCGCAGCATTGTAATGGTTTGGAATTGGACCTGTAGACAATTTATTTATATTTTTTGGATATTAACAAAAAAATAAATATCCTACCACAATAACTGAGCTTGTATTTATCCAGATAATCGATTATGTAAGAGGACTAGTCAATTCTTTGCGAAATTGTATGCACTATAATAACGTAGAATTTATTGCTTTTAAATCGGATTGACAGAATAGACTGCATTCCATACCCGATATGATTGAAGTTTCGACTCGTGGACGCAGTACAGACATTATTTTGGTAATGCGATTTTCTCGAATGTATATTGGTTGGATTGGGTCCCGGTATTGGGTCGCCTGGGCCGCCGAGAGGAAAACCCTGGTTGCCCGGATCAGGTCAGATCTCTCTCCGTCAGGTATAGTAGCGAATATGCTGGCGGACTAAGAATCCCAGGAGGCAGTAGTCTCCTTCTGTGAAGCGGTGATGCTCTAGAAGGAAGTCGCCGAGCGTGATCGGGAGACGGCCGATGCCGCTCGGTGGCGGTGTTCTTTCGCGGCTGTGGGCGATCGGAGAGGGGGCTCCGTTCGCCAGTAAGTTTGGCAGCTGCGAGAAGGATGACGCGGTTGTGTAGTCCGTTTCGTCGTGCGGAAGGAGAGGGGAGGACGTAGCTCCTCCCAGGTTTAGGGCGATCCCTCCCACTAAAGCACCCAAGAAGGCCACTCTGGTGTTTTAGCAGGTAAAAGGGTTCCGTATTTCAAATTAGCATCCATAATTATCAGCCTATAGCAGTCCACTGCTGGACATAGGCCTCTCCTAATGTGAACCATTTCGCCCGGTCCTCAGTTTATCAAATCCACCTGCTGCTAACAGCCTTTCGCAGATGACATTAAGTAATATACATTGTTTGACATTTGCCGTAAAGCAACAATTAACACGCTTCTGCCTACCTGTACTATGTTCTGAATATGTTCCTTAATTGCAATACATTATAATATCTATAAAAATAAGATGATACTATAGTATCATCATATATGTATATAGCAAATCGTTATCGCATCTTTGGGTAGAAGAAGAAGGTAGGTAGACTACTTGATGACTACTACTTCCACATGAGATGCAGAATGGAAGGAGAAAAGGAACAAAAGATAAGAAGACAAAAATACTAACTTAGGCAGATGTTCAGACATCCATTCACAAAAGCAAGCGATTTTCATAGCAACAGCGACGTGCTCTCCGTCACATACGGTGCCCCCAACAGTCACTCCTACCAGTTTTCCTGCTTGCACTACAGGTGCTCCCGCGTCTTCCTGTAATGGTAAATGCTCGTTTACATAATAATATTATCATCAATTTTCCACCATAATCCTTTTAGGTTGTTTTTTTATAGCGCCCCTCCAACTAACCTCAATCTCGCGCGAGGTATAATGAGTTACTTGAGCTCATAATTTTAGGTTCCCATAATATGGTAATAAGCTACTAACTTATTTGTTTTTTTACATACTAAGTGACGAACAAGTCGTGAACCTGATGGTAAACGACATGCTTGTCCACAGCAGTTGCAGTGTCACTTAGAGATTTAAATTTTGAGAGGCACAGCCACTGCGTCCGTCACGCTGAAACATAAGTTCACAAGTCCTATGTGCTTGTATTTTCCTTATCCTTCGAAACGGAAACGCAGTGATGCTCACATTACTGTTTGCTGGCAGAAATAGGTAAGATGGCATTACTTCACTGGACGAACTCTTTCACAAGGAGCTGTATTGCTGGAGCTGCTACGATAAAAAATGATGATGATGGCCCTAGTTGTACGCTTGGGATAGTTAGAATATTTTTAGATAGCGATTACCTCAATTAGCACTATACGACGAGGTCCTATATGACTACATGACGAGGTCCTATTTCACTATATGACGAAGTGAATTTAGGACACCAATATATAATTTTTTTCACACACATTGCTAACTAACCTCAAATTAGGAAATTCTCTGTACCATGAATATTTAAGCAACAAAATCAACTAAATTACTTCGGGGCACTACCCAAAACACCCAGAACTGAACCAGTATAGATAAGTTCCTTCGGTCCCAAGTTGGTTCGGAATCTCTTCATTTAATGCCCATAGTGCCTCTGGATCATTGAAGTCGCTAATGATATTAACTCTGATACACAGAAAATTACGTAGTTCGAGATCAGGCAATGGCAGTCTCATTCATCATATTACAGATAGATTTTATTATCATATTATGATAATAAAATCTATCTGATTTTATTATCATGTTACGTATAGACAAAACTTTGTGCAGGACTTACTTTTCAACGGATTGTCGAATTGTGACAGAAGAAGATTTTAAGTGAATTATAAGAATCTTTATTTGTAAGTGGAGTCACTTACGTTAGTGATGTAATGGTCTTCACTAGCAAAACAGATAACTTCATTTTTATTTGCTGAAAAAATATTAAAATAGGTATAATTTTGGTACCCCAGTGAATTTAAAATAGTTGAATAAAGTAATAAGTTAAAGGAGAATGAATTTTTTTTCTACGTAAATGTAATTATTTTGTTGAATATCATGACTTTTCTATACTAGTATTCAGATATTTTTTTGTGAAAATACTCCACTAGTTAGTTATTATTATTGATACAAAGATCGAACAACACAAAGAAAAATTTCTTCTATATGACTGAACTCGAACCAGCGTCTGTTGCCATACCGGGACCACCGCTCTTATCAACTAAGCTACAGACCGAGTCAGCAAATCTTACGAATTTCTCTATATGAATTTATGTGTGTCTTCTGGAATTATTATTCAAATATGTAAAATATTATATGAAGAAAAATTTAGTGACATTTGGTTTTTGTTTATATATAGGTACTATTCATTTTGAGATTTTTATAGTTGTTATTGACATAGGAACATTAAGCAAGAACAATTTAGATTTTATAATTGACCGTGATTTCATAAGTTATTCTTTGAGTATATGGAGACGTTGCTTATGGTGATTTTCCACTACAAATAGCTAGGTGGTGCCTCAGTAATATAAAAAAAATACCAACAAAAAGTTATTCATAATAAAGTCAGACAAAAATAACATTCTAAATACAATTTGCTTCCAATATTATTTAGCCGACACAAAGTATCGAGACGCTATCAAAAATAGTACATCATATCGCTACACTTGCGATTTATAGGCGATTACATGAATGCAATCGTCTATAAATTTTAAGTGTAGCTATGCAATCGCGCGTTTGTAGTGATGCAGTCGCGCGCTTGCATCGTATTTGCATCGTTGCTTAAAATCGCGCGTGTGTGTAAAGGTAGACGATTAGCGACTGCATCGCTACTGCAACGCGTTTGTATCTCTGCTAAATGTCGCCATGTGTAACCACTTTAAGGGTCACGTCACCCTTCATAAATAGTCATACTCACTTAGCCTGTAAAGAGGCGGCATAGACCTTTCGACGAGTTTCGAACAAGTTTGCACGTTCACAAAACTAAATGATTCAACAGTCAAATTATTTTGCTGAAAATAAATTAAAATGGGTATAAAAAAGTCCTACAGACAATATATCGATGATGATGAATACAATTTGAAAGAACCCAGAGTCGACGACTTCATAATAAGGTGGCTCCTGTACAGATATTCCCTTATCTCCAGGTAGTAAAATGTATTTAAATTAAAAGCAGAAAGGAAATCAATGTGAGCTTACCGCATTGCCCGTGGAACGTCGCCAGCTCTTAAAGGCATCAATATTTCTTGCGTCAAAGTTTTGTAGATAGGGGAAAAATCTGCGTCTTTTTTTTGTACTCTGTGTGATCAATTATATTATAAAAACTTTAAGCTATATGTGTAACAAACATTATAAATATGGGACAATTTTTCAAAAATAATTCTCTGCCAATTTTGACAGACGGAAGGTTTCCTTCGGCTGAACGACTATTAAATAAAAATGGGGTTATTGTTTTGTCAGTGTAATTTCGACTGATATTGTTTATTATATGTACTTAAGGACCACGTTGAAGTTCACTTACGCAAACATTAAAGATTTAGCCCAACAAATATTTTTTTAATAAATCATGTTTGTTATTATTTAATAAAACCGCGAACACCTTAATAATATATTATTATACACGTCAAGAGCAAACAAGTATTGTTGGACTCTGCTCTATTACATTTTTTATATTCGCATAAAATAAAATACACGAAGATTTAGACAAATTAATGCAAGTTTTCGTGAAAGAAAAGAAGACTTTTACCACTACTTTGAGTTAGTCTTTCTATTGATAATCATTATTTGCTTTACCATTATTACATCACTAATTCTTTAAATTAAAATAGGAATTTAAAAAATTATCACTTGAGTGGCGCATTTCGCAATCAACTGTAGGTAATGATGAATAAATTTATATTTCGAACTGCCAGGTATACTTAAAAAATTTTTGAGGAATTAGACACTGTAAACGGTAGGCCTCCAAACGTGGTCCATACAGCTACGAAGCTTGATTCTATTTTGGATACTACAAAATGATAACGTACACAAAGCACAAAACTAACATTGTGACACGATCCATTTATGAGTTTCGTTTTGAATTACCAGCTACAAATATATTTGAATGAACATCAAATTACGTAATGATCAATGAGCCTTCCGCCTTTCACCTCAATTTTATATTGATTCTTAACTTTGTGCCACATCAGTAATATTCTTAGTTCTTGAGTGAATTTTGTGAGAAATACCCAACAATGTTAGTATGTAATAGGGAGCAATTCACGCCAGACAGGATTTTAGAATGAATACAACAGATATTTTCATCGCGCTGGTACCTAGTTGTAGTATTGGTCGTCGTGTGGTTTGCTAGCTATTACGATGTATGTAGACTGATACAAAGTTGGTAACTTTAGACCAGCGTCAGCAAAATTATTACGCGCGGGTAACAAGCGAGACCCGAAAATAATTCAACAGTGTTGACTTACATAATTGTTAATCCTCGTGTTTACTCTTGGCAAGGGGTCGATGTGAAAGGATTTTCCATTTCCGTTGTTGCTTGTTAACTAAAAATTACAAATAGTATGAATAAAATCCTAAGTTACAAGATTGTCACAAAAATAATTTAATCTGTAAAATTTGGTGGGTTGGTTTGCTGTAATACATTTATTAGTCAATTCATCTCGTCTAAATTTATTCGATTCGTTTTAGAGGTAGGTCTAAATGATGTTTCGATAGGATCAAATTAATCTTTGGGTTTCTATACAGGGTATTTGTAAAATACTAACAACCTTTTTGCTTGTTATTCCACGTAGTGACGGGACGAACAAGAATCGTGTGCGAGGTGATAAGCGATACGCCTGTCCAAAACCTTGGAGGACTGTACTAATGATATCATAAACAACAACTTTTTGTCCATGACTTTCTACAAAACTTAGTAAATTTACCAAAAGCAAACATTATAATTGTACCATCTGAAAGTTTTTAGATTTGTATTTGGAAGTAGAGTTCAGACGAGGAGTAGGTTCAAACGTGCAAACATCCTCTCCCCAATGTCCCCCACTCCCACTCCTGCGATTTGCACAGGATTTTTTTTTTGTTACCACACAAAGCTATCACCAGTTAGAGATCTCTATTTGAATATATTCATTTTTACTGTACGAAAGTAAAATCTGATGAGTTATTAAAAGACATTGAACAAAGTGCGGTTGTTAGTATTCTACAAATAACCCTCTATGTTAATGCTGTTAAAAATTATATATTTCACGTATCATCACTTTGTTTTCAAAAATTTTAAAATTTACGATGCCAGTTTTTTTACCTTTGCACAACATAATCTTTTCATATAATACTTACCTAGTTTTTCTTTTTATTATTTTTAATGAACGTTTTATCAATACGCATTGGCCACCCTCATAGGGGCGATACTGATATTATACATATATTATAACCCAACTAAGTTTATTTTATTTTGTTTATTTTTTATTTACTCATTTATTTCAGGTTCCATGACCCAAATATATATAATATATACCTTAAGTACTAACATACATACAATATAATAAAATACTACTTCTAACTAATCTACACGAATTGCACTTGTCGGCGACATGTGGCGCGATCTACTGTCAGGTAACCGGACGCGTAATCGCTGATATATGACACCCTTCGGCCAAAACTCTTCCTTCATGGAGGTTGACAGATGTTCGGTCGGCACTCTCATCACAAACGAATTAAAATTCACATTGTGGCGGGACTCCAACCGCTCGACTCTCAGGGTGTATTTGGCTTTTAGCCTGATATACTCCACTATATCCTCAGACTTCGTGGAGTAATGTAGTCGCGACAGGTACAGCAACGTCGTCGGTATGGCCGGACGCAGCAAAAAGTTCGATCCTGTCGGTGCTGTGTCACACAGGTTACGACTGGTGGGCTTCCTCTTCCTTTTCACCACCTTTGTGAAGCCGTTCTCGTCGCATAGGTCCGTCTGTATCTCAGCTGATTGTCGCCACTCGAGTTTCGAAACTCGAGTGACGGGTCGGCTGGTAGAAGCGGCTACATCGGCGTATGCACGTGCAGGGGTTGACCTGCATACGCAAGGCGCGACCCATCATGCGCGATGGCAGCAGCGATCGGTGACGCAACCATTTGTGCCGACTCGACACTGCCGATGAATGCACTTTGCGCCCCATGACGCGTGTTTGCATCAAAGGCTTCTAGTGACCTACAAACCGAAGCAGTGTTGCTTAATAATACAACTTGGGCATGCAGCTCACTTATGGTGTTATCTGCAGTCTCCAATCTACACTGCAACTCAGCCAGGCTTGACTTCAGAGAAATAATATCCTTCTACAGCTTGGTAACATCAACGTGATCAAACGTGACGGCAGCTTGTGCAGCTCCTACGCCATGAATGTAAGTCGCCGGGTCAGTCTCCTTCAGGAGTGTGATAATATCCTGGAGACTCTTCACGCCTCCATCCCTCCGGCGAGACGGCATCTGCTCGGCTTTGGCGAGGCCCTGGAACAACAGCATCTTGCCCCTGCATATCTCATCCTCGTTGAAATTGGGTTTGCAGATCTGCACAATGATGACCTCGACCACTGATAAACGCCAAAGCTCATTGTTGTTGAAAACCCATTGCCACTTACAAGCAGCGCGAAACTCGAATTATATGAATAATTCTCACTGCATAGTGAACGCACACCGAATTTCACACCAGCTATATAGCTAACTTCACCATGTTATACAAGATCCTGGCCTTCTTGGACAAGAGACTGGCTAAGATTTTTTTAATATTTTTATTTATTTCGTTATTTGCATTCAGGTAACAAAGACCCATAAACACATACCTTATAGACTAACATACATTATAATACAATAAAAACACTACTGACTAATTATTATTTACACCTATTGTCTGCCACGTGTGACGCAACGTGGGTGTCCGATAGCCGGCCTCGGAAACGTCGGTACGTGACCCCCATCGGCCAAAACTCATCTTTCATGAAGGTCGACAGATGTTGAGTTGGTAGTCTCACCACAAATGAATTGAAATTGACATTGTGCCGGGACACCAACTGCTCGACCCTCAGGGTAGCATTGGCATGCACCCGTATATAATCCACAATATCAGACTAGATAGACAGACTTTGTGACAGAGACACATATTACAACATATGAAGATGCTGATACTTGTGCTAGTACCTAGTTGTTGTAGTATTGAAGATAGCTAAAAACTAAGTTAGTTGGAAGATACGAGTTTAGTTAACTACAAGATGGACTAACTTTAAAGTGTGCAGTGTCATCTGAATACAAATTAAATATTTCTTGTTTCGTGGTTCCCTTGTGACGATCCGGTGATCGCACCGCTCGAACCTTTGGATCTGGATTATGGATCATGCGCAAATAATAGCTCATATTGTCACCCATTGTCATCTTATTCTTTCTCTTATTTAATATAATTCTCTTCCCAATTCCTTCCTGAAAATTATATAATGACATACGATACTTCGATGAAGAAAGAGTTAAAGCCAATTTTAACAATAATGGGTTAAGGTTGATTCATGTTACACCGTGCCGGGTTCGGGCCGTCACAGTGCCTTGTTATTTCCACCGTGGGCAGGCCGTATTAGTCATTCTCTGATTCATGTTACACCCGGTTTCGGGCCGTCACCGTGTCGTGTCTTCATCGTGCGCCAGCCGGGTTTTTTTTTGGTATTTTCCCTTTTTCTATTGAGTTGAGGTTATGTTATTAATGCAATTTTGATAATTTGAGTTGGCAGTCATTGCAATAGCTCTTGATGACGAAGTATTGGTAACACAAATTGAAACTAGATAAAGAAGATGGTGTTGTACATTCTGTCTGGAGAAAACAAGAATCCGAAAGAGAATTTGCCACGCTCTATAAAGATTTAGTAGATGATGAAGAGCATTTTGCGCTTGTACCCATATCATACCCTCCGGATGCCCGGCGAATGCATTTATGTTACGACGTGTCGCCATCGGGCCGGGTTGGAACCGGGAAAAAATACTCGACACCGTGCCCCGGCGCACGACCGGAGCGCGGCCCTGGCCCGGCCCAGTGTAAGTTGAATCAGCCTTTACTGACCAAGTGACGAGATGAACAAGTCATAAGCCTGGTGGTAAGCGACACGCCTGTCCATAACAGTTGCAGTGCCACGGAGAGCTTCAAATCACAAAGATCTGAGGGGCACTGCCACTGCGCCCGTCGGCTTGAGACATAGTTGACAAGTCCCACGTGTCTGTTATTTTACCAGCACCTTAAGCGCCCAGTTACCACGCTTTCACGTACGTTAATGGTGAATCTGAATTCTATTCTAGGCAACAACACTTAAATTCCTCGGAATAATACAACCGCGCGGCCGCCAAGCCAAGCCAGCCTCTCATTTAACTTAAAACGTAAAAGCTATAAATAGAGAGTAGTTTGCCATGACAGTACGATCTCTGAACACGTGCACGCGGTCGTTACGGGGCGAGAAATTCGTGTCGAATAAACGCGCCCTTACCCTTTAAAACCAAAATGCGCTAATGCTCACATTGCTGCTTTCAGAAATAGGTAAGGTGGCAGCACTTCCCTGGACGAACTTTTTCTACTGCTACTAAAAGTGCTTTCTGCTCTTCCAATCTATCTAGTACTAGTGACCAAATAATGGCATTTTTTACGTAAATATGACAGATATGAAAGTTAAAAAGATATGAACAAAAATGCTTATAATTTTGTTTTGGAAATTTAGTAGTTCAGCTTTTACGCCTTGTCCACTCCGAAGTATCAAATTATGTCGTAAGAAAGAATTAAAGAATAACACTTGATTATAACTACTAATACAAAGATTGGACGCTAAGAAAAATTCCTTTGATCCGGCTAGATTCGAACCAGCATCTTTAACATACAGTGCCAGACGCTCTCCCAACTGAGCTACGGTGCGAACCAGCAGACTTTCCGAATTTTTCTAAGTGCTCGTTGAAGAGCTTTGTTCTTCATTTTTAACGACTTTTTTGCCGTAGCGCCATCTCTGTTAGAAATCTTAACGTTACAAATTAGTGAAGTATTTCACAGAATATAATTCAACGTCACTCATGGTAATAAAACATCGTGATATTCAATGAACTTAAAAATTAGAATAACACTTGGTAATTATAATTTATAATAGATCATCAGTATCATCATATACATCATCATTTCAGCCGAAAGACGTACACTGCTAGACATAGGCCTCCCCCAAAGAGCGCTACAGTGACAGGTCTTGTCTTGCTTGCAACCAGTAGATTCCCGCAACTGTCACCAGGCCATCGTTCTACCTTGTGAGCCGTCTGTTATGCGTCTTCTGGTACGCGGTCGTTACTAACGCAGGATCCATCAGCCATCGGCTCTGCGAGCAATTTACCTCGCCCACAGATAGTTAAGTTTTGCAATTCTTCGAGTTATGTTGTCGGTTACTCTGGTTCATTTGCGGATACCCCTATTCATTACACATTGAGTGATCTTGAACCTTCTTATGAGACTCATAGTGAGCGACCATGTCTAGAGTGCCATAAGTTATTACTGGCAAGCAATTTATAATTTATAGGCATACTGATTTGGAAACGTTTGTGTTTTGATATAATGTAATACTTACGCCTGCGTTTCCTAGTGCAAAATTATTCTCAACTTCAGCAGAGTCTACTCTAGCCCTTTCTTTGAAAGAATTCGGAGGTTCGTCATGCTACAGTAAAAAGTAACATTAAAAATTATTCTACATTTTTAATAATACAAATATCATATAATAGTAATAACAACACAGTAAATAAAGCAAAATAACAGTCAACCAAACCAATCACTTGGTCTCAAACTAAGAAATTCCTTGTCGAATTAAAGTAAAGGAATTCACTCCGAGATTCTGCCAATAGCACACAGACTCCTTGGTCCATCCAGAAACCCGGGTTCGAACCCAGGACGTCCGCATCCAGCGCCCACATTACTTAGAAACAAACCTCTGAGGATGCTTCTTAGAAAGGCAAAACACATCGAGCCATTACCGGCGACTTAGTATAAGCCACTTCAATCTAATTACAGGAGAGGGTATTTTTTAATATTTCCTCCATTTAAAGATTTTTGAGGCTTTCAAGCGTTTAAGATAACACTGGCGATTAAAAATATGCAACAAGGTGCAACGCATATTTTAACATTTTTTTTATAGTATATGACCAAATAGTGGTGTGCTACATCGATTGCGATAATAAGTGGGTTCGTTTACATTATGATTTTTTAATGTTGATTCTGTCAGTTACTTTAAAATATAAAAAAAAACAGTTGAGTTAATGATGAACTTGACTTTTGCTGTAATTTCTATTTGATGTAATTTTACCGGGTAATGACGACGCGTCATTGTCCGTTAAAATTAAAAATATCATTTGCAACAAAAAACACTGTACTGAAAGTGTCCCTTCCTTCCTGGTATATTTTTGGTGGTGGTATCTGTGCTACTATACTATATTTGCTACTTGTACTATAGTTGCGCTTTTGGTGTTTATATTATTAATTTAATGCGGAGGGAGAGTGGAAAAATGAACTGCATGAAAAAAAAATTTAACAAAATCGTAGCTATTTTGCACGATTCAATCAATATTCTATCTAGCACTAGCCTGTAACAAAGATGTTGTTACTGTCGTTAATAAAGAGTTTAAGAAAGACAATATAATCAACAATATTATAATCTCGATAAATAAAAAGCCTATATTTATAACTTCTAATTCAAACATACATTTCTATGCCGGAAAATAATATATTATGTTATTATAAACTAGATTTAAATACAATTTGCTATACCCTGTCCATGTGATACTATTATTCACTTGTATCAACTGTATATACCATGAATGCAAGAAATTATATTCTAAATAAAGACTGTTATATATAGTTTTATTTACTCCATATTCGTAGCATGAACTCACCCTGGAATATTTCTCTTCGTTGGATTGATACATCATGGTAACTGCATGCTTCTGAAAAACAAAAGTTGTCAGTATAATTATCGAGATAAGTGAAAACCTTAAAAAATAACTGGATTGGAGTTCAGCGTGTATTTGCCAAGTTTAATGAAATCGGTAACCGGAAAGTGCGCGAAACCAGATTCATCTCCTAGTTTACCACCCTTAGAAGTGCAATATTTTCTTCAAATTTAAATGGGACAAAAACTGAGGTATCCTCTTTCCAACAAAAAAATAATCATCAAACTCGGTTCACAAATGCCGCAGTAATCATGTAACATACATACAAAAAAAAAGTCGATTACAAATGACGTTAAAGGAAAACGTGATAAGAATCTTTGACAAATGACATTTACAAATGACCCGATAATATTATTATTTCCTTGATGGCGGCCACTAGGCTTGGGTCAGAGTCAGTTTCGATGTATGTTGTCACGGACTCCTTCCAGCTTCTTAGTGTTTGATTGGTTTGGAACTTGGAAGCTCTGTTTTTTTAAGTTTTTTATAGTGTAAGTCTATAAAATAGATTAAATAATAATGCAAATATATAAATTTTTCATTTAATTCATAATAGTGAATACTACGAACAAAAAACGTAATAATTACATAAATGCGCCGGATTAAAGATCCAAAATTTTCTTCTGTCTAGTGGCTGAAACGCTAACCGTGAAAATCCAAGAAAAAAGAACAAAGAAATACAAAAAAAATGCGAAAGATTATCCTGGAGCAAGGTTTGAGTCTACGATGGAACGAGTTTACCCGGAAGATGCCAATTCAGTTGCATCTTAAAGATAGGTACTCGGGTTGTGTGTGTTCGGAAATACAGTCGCAGGTAGGGAATACGGTTCCTAGGCAGCGCGCATAACAAAATATGATGAAAAGCGCTTATTACACCTAAAGGGAATACGGGAAAGGTGGTCTGGCTGTCCAATGGTAAAAGGAGCGGGCTAAGTTTGATGCTTTGTGGTCATTGCAGTGAGACAGACTAAGATTTCGTCCATAGTGACTACACAGGGACAGCGACAGGGAGTTCATTCCACAATCTAACTTTCCTTTCGTTTATTATATTTTATATCATATTATTAGGTTTTATTTCCTTTTTTTTGTTTTTGTATTTTATATCGTATTGCATATCAAATAACATAATTTTAATTTTATTAATACAAAAAAGTTGTACTTGCCTTTTTTTTTCCATACTCGTTTTTATTATTTTTAGGTACTTGCTTGACTGGCGGCTAAAAATTTACGTAGAAAGTTAAAGGTCCATTTAGATGGAGAGAGTTTATCGCACGCTTCGTGCCGAAAAATCGTACGCAATTATCGTAAGCAATAATCGCCATAAGATTATCGTATCATTCACATGTTTACATTCAGGCAAGAACTAAAATCTCGCCTACGATTATGTCATACGGGATTCGCAAGCAACTTAATCGCCTCCTCGACTGTTTACACAGAGAAATATGTAGTAAGGAGATTCTTGCTTACGAGTTTTCGACTTGTCTACACACGATCTCGTATGACATTTTTCAAGTTCATACGATTATCGTACAAATCGGTTCGAACCGTTTTGAGTGCGAGAATTGCCATACGAGTTCAGTGATTACTGCAGTATTGACTATGGACATAAACAAATAACGCAAAAATCATTCAAATTTGGAACTGCTGATAATATTAAGTTCATTGCACTGTATAGAAATATACATTCTTTTTCAAATTTTATAACATTTCTTAATTCAAAATTTTTTTCGTTCTCGTTTCATTAATTCTTGTCTTTAGAAAAGCAGTGATAATCAAAACATCCTCGCGCACTGCACTTGTGGTAGAAACGGCTGGCACAGAAATTCGAAATACGATTTTTGCTTTTGAGTTCTATTTACACGGAGACGTTCAAAGGCGAGGCAATTATCGCTCACGTGGACGGTCGATAATCGCGAATGTTTAGACGAGGAAAGTTTTGTATATTCTTTCGATAATCGTATCTTCGAGACGATAAACTCTCTCCATCTAAATGGGTCTAAGTTGGGTACAGTCAATTACAGTTATCTTCTTATCGTATCGACGGCATACGCTATATAGTACAGTAATGTGATACGGTTATATGAAGTTTGATGTTCCTTAGTCGTTTTGTGGAAGATAATAGTAGGTGACTTTGAAATTGATTAAATATTTAAAATTATTTGGCCTGCAACACAATCTAAACAATCATGACATTGCTATAGTAATGTAAACCAAATTATTAATCTGATATTTGTAAATAAAAATAACGACCCTACTATATTATAATAAGACAAGTATCGTAACTCATACAATTTGTATGTGCCGCACACGTTCGCATAATTTCCCGATGCACTCGTGTTGCATAGCGCTGGTCGCCACATGCGCCTTTCTTTATTATGCGAATGTGTGGGTGCACACACATAAGCCACACTGCTGCATATGAATGGAGTTACCTTACTTGTCTTACTACTATTTACTAATATTTTAACTGATATAATATAAAAAAACCAATAAAATAAAATCTAGTGATGGCTATGACGATTATGACTTACAGCGTTCACCTCAATTTCGTCTTCCAAATCATCTTTACAGCGTCCCCAACTCATTACTGTTACATTAGTATCCACGGCAGTAGACGGCGTATTGAGTAATCGTATAATGTGACCAGGTTTGTCTGACGTCATTCCAGCAAATGTCAACACTAGTGCTAAATCGGCAGTCCACCCTTTGAAACTTGGGTGGGTAACAACTCTCTCTATAGGTAGATATTGTTCATATCCTGTATCAAACATAATTTTACTTCCAATCACTACAAAAGACATTGTGAGCTCCGGTTGTAAATATTCATTGTTGGCAACTGAGCTGAAAATATATTGTAAATTAGTGATTTCACTTACAATAAATGTTAATAAAAAACATTCGCGCCACAATTATGATAAAAATAACAGAAATACTAACAAGCAGTGCGCTGCAGTGACGACGATATTGTCATGCACAATAGCTCCTGTACAAGACTTTTTATAGCCGTTAGTGAACACAACGCTGAAATATATATAGAACAATAAATTGATAATGAAATATTTTCTTACAATGAGACGTGAAATATTGAAATTGTTGTTGTGGATATTGGCTTATTCAATTTTTTTTTAAATGCTAACAGAAAAACGACATCATTATCATAAAATACAATCACCACATTGGGGACCCATCTACATAAGTAATTTTGTTTTTCTGCTCGGGGCAACATATGAATTTTTTAAATATTATTATAAAAATTTGATTTACTCAAGCAATGCCACAAAGGTGTATTGATCGTCTTCTGGTCTTAAAACTGAGGCATCGTTATCAACATCTTCTTCAGAATAAAGAAAATCCACCTTTTTCGGATTTTGCATTCCTGGATCTATAGGTGGATACACCAATCTGGCTGGGTAGTCATCCTTTGACTCTAGGTGGTGGGTAGACTTGGTTTCAATTGGTCTTGATGTATCTTTATCGATATTATGAAAAATAACATGAGAATCTATTGGTGCATTAGTTGTTGTAGTTGTCGCTTTAGACACATTGTTGGTGAAATCAAAATGAGGGACGGTCGCGTCTATCACGTCAGGAAGATTGTCAGCTAAACGAAAAACGTTAAAATGATTAGTATATTTCTAGCCGTCAGTACCTTAAGTAGTTTTTGGTGTGCATGCCTAACTATAACAAAAAAAATATAATTTAGTCACAAATTCTTTTTGTGTGTTTAAAAAGCATCAATATTCAAGTATCAAATAAATTTTGAACTATATCGACCCCGTAGAAATAATAAACACGTGCTGAGTAATTCGAGTACATTGACGTTATTAACTTACTTTGGAAATAGTTATAACAAAACACTGATTAGTAATATTTTTAATGCTCCATACCTATTGTTTGTATTGTATCTGTAGTCGCTACGTAGCTTATTTCTTTTTCAGGTTCAAATTCTGATAGAGTTGATGGAGATCCTATTGTCGGACTAGGTCCAATTATTGATCTCGATTTTGATTCCAGCTCTTTGGAGGTCAGAAACAACAAAAATGTAGACAAAATTGTAGGTATGATTGTCAGTGTGGTTGATGTTGCGCCGGACATTGTTGTCGAAGTAGTATCGGATGTTGTTGTCAAAGTTGTGCCCGACGTTGTTGTCGACGTTGTGTCAGACGTTGTTGTCGAAGTTTTGTCGAATATTGTTGTCGAAGTTGTGTCGGACGTCGTTTTCGAAGTTGTATTGAACGTTGTTTTTAAAGATATAAACGCTGTTGTTAAATTTGTGTCGGACGTTGTTGTAGAAGTAGTGTAGGATGTTGCAGTCGAAGTTGCATTCGGTAGATCCCAAACTCTTGTCCATTCAATGTCGGGAATATAAACTACGGGACCCGCATCCACCAAGGCTCTTCTGTTACTCCACTCTGAAAATTACTTCCGTTTGGATATGATCTAATGACGCCCTTCCACCTGCTCGGGCGTAAAACTGAATACAAGTCAATGCAAGAAATCTTGTGAAATTGTTCCACAGGTACATTGTAAACTGTAAATAAGTGCATAATACGTGTAAGTTTTACATGAAACTATTGACTCTTTCTTTGTTTGTATTGTTCTACGGTCCATTAACGCCACGCTGATATATTTATGTTCTTGTAAATTATTGACGCGCTGGTGTTTTTCCCAATAATTTTAGCACCAAAGATGTCCACGAAAATAAAATATCATCTTGAGTTGACTTGTATATTTTGTATACCCAATGTATAATTTGCAATATTCGTTCAAAATACAGCCGCGACGCGGGATGAGAGACGCTGCTTTCTATAAATATTTAATCCGGTGGAAAAATACCATAAACTTCAAAATCAATCTCTTTTTATTTGTACAGGGTCGATTATTTTTGAAATAAAAGCATTTTTAAACACAAAAAATATATTGTGGGCACTTCGGCTTTTGTAATCACACTTAAACAGATGAGCTTACTTTCAAGAGACCGTTTTGCAATAAAAACGCACAAAGCATGATCAAATGAATGTAATATAAAAAATGTATAAGTTATCCTTACCATAGGCGTAGAATGCGACTTGCTTGCCAAGTTGTTTCTGTATCCTCTTAGTCGGTTTCATTGTTAGTTTTAAAGCACCAGATTCAGGTTGTACCGAATGAGGAACTAATGTACAAACATCATACTATATATCAATCGTGTCTCATCATCATCAACCCATTTATTGGTCCCACTGCTGGGTACGGGTCTCCTCTCAGACGAGGTTTCAGACCATAGTCTGCCACCTATTATTTTCCGAAGGTTGTGAACCTTCTTCGACGTGTAGGTTTCATCGCAATGTTTTCCTTCACCGAAAAGCTCACGGTACATTTCAAATTCAATTTCGCTCTTAAATTCTGAGAAACTCAGGTGGGAGCCCGAATTCGAACCCACAAGTCAAATTATTAGGATATAACGGCTTTTTTTTACGATATGCCAGGTACAAATAATAACAATTCGTGGCAGAGACTACTTACACTGTGCCACGACTGATTGATTATGTTTGATAAGAACCGAGACGCCACTTAAAAGCAATAAATAGAAAAGATTTAAGGGTGATCAAATCTACTACTGGGATGAGGTGTGAGAATAATAATATTTAAGAAGATTATGTAACTTCTCATATACAGTAACCACATATAATTCGTGCAAGCGGTTCTTTTAGATGATAGGAGCTTATAAGTTTATGCTGTTTACCCATATAACATTTCTAGAAGTATTGCAGCATGATAAAATACTTAATTTCCTGAGTTTAAAAGTCCATGGCCATTTTAATTCAACATGTATTGTTTTTTTTAATTATTCGCAGTCGAATTAGTAGCAATACAGCTCCGGTAAGGGTGACGGTGAAATTATAGGCACATGGGAATTGTCAACTTATGTCTCAGAGTGACGGTGCAGTAGCAGTGCCCCTTGGATATTTGCGATTTAAAGCTTTGAGCAGTACTGCAACTGTTATGAACAGGCATGTCGCTTACCACCAGGTGCACGACTTGTTCGTTTCATCACTTGGTATCATATAAAAACGGAGTGTTTAACTCTATTGAATACTTTTAAATGTTGAAATATATAAAGCCTTTTAAAACTCGTACTGTAGCGACATTAGTGTTGTTCGTGTTATGAGCATTATATACACTCGTTGAACAATCTACCAATTTGTATTTCCTGGAGATCAAGTTTAAAAAAATAACTTACAGTACTCCACAATCCTTCTGTAAGGCATTTTGTTTGGTCTGTCTGAAAGTACAAAAAACATGCTAGATAAAATACTCAATAGCCCAGACAGATAGATATCTACTTCTTTTTATTACGTCAAATGTTTTCATTTTTACCATAGCTTACGGCTCTGAGGAAATTTTTTTGTTATCTCTAAAATACATCAAAAAAACGTTACTAATTAAAATTTATTTTCTAAAAACATGTTAGTAAAAATACAGGGTGTAATAGTAAGTGTGCCAAGACGATTATTCCGTAGATATATAAGAGATACTAAAAACTTTTAAAATGATATCGAAAGTACGTTACCTAATGAGTAAAATGACATCAATAACTTTTTAAAATGACAAATTTGCGTCAAGCGCTCACGTACATTTAATAAGATATTCGTTGAGAGGGTTTAGTTGACCTACTTTAAGAGGTGACAGTAAGTTTACAGATAACGAAACTGTTATAAATAAATATAAAACTATGTGTTAATTTAATGAAAACAAAGTGATGAATAAGTAAAAATGTTAAAGTAAGAACAAATTTTAATTCTGGTATTACTTTTATTCATTTTTCATAAAAGTATGCTAAAATTTTAAATTATAGACGAGTAAATTGTTCCATACAGTTAATTTGGCCATATTTAACATATTTACGTACATCGTGAAAAATATGGTTACTTTTATGAGCATAATCATTATTATTATTTCCTTAATGGCGGCCACTAGGCTTGGGCCAGTGTCAGTTTCGAAATGAGCATATTAATAAAGGAACTATTTTTATGTCAGTGGTGATTTTTTCCATTATCATTCGTAGAACCACAGAATGTTTTTATACCATGTTAAATTTTAAAAGAAAAGAGTAATATTTTCCATACAGTAAATATGGCCATTTGTATGACTATATAGGTTTGGAAATATGGCCATTCGCTTTTTTTTTAAAGTTAAAATTGCTTTTAACCTTCTGCGACTGAGGTGAGTTTATCGGAAACATTCGACTGACGTGTAGTCTGTCGGACGTCATTTTAAATTGCATTTTATGGTTAACTTCTTAAATTAAATTATTTTTTTATATTGTTTTATGGTTCTAGATGTTATTGTTTGTTAAACATAATAATATATATATACTGAAAATAAAAAATGGGTGTATTGTATAATCAGTTTTAATGAGATCAATTTTTAGTACTTTTTTACTTAAATGTACTTACCTACTTGTAATTTTTTTTATTGAAAGAACTTTTATAAATTATTAATAATACTCTTTTTAACATTATATTTTTAGACTTTGAACAAAAACACAACGAGATTCTACAGTTCCTTTAGGCACAAATCAGTCTCAAAGTTGACTTATTTCTAATAACTAAAATTTACAGTCTTGACACAGTGGAGCAGAACATTGCAAGCAAATTGGCTTGTTACATCCGCAGCAATGGTATCTGGTTTGTCTTTTTAGTTTACTAGGGCATATGCTGCACAACCTTCTTCCTGAAGGTCCTGGAAGCTGAGCCACGGGCGGAGGAGAAGGCAAATCCTTACCCAAAACTCTTCTTATTGTTAGTCGAAGTTCCCTAGGCAGTCTGTCATTATAAACACGTTCTTTTAGGGTAGGAAGAACTAGGTCTCTTGCCAAGGATAATAAAAAGTCTCCTCTTCGTAACTTTGCACCTGGACAGCTTTGGTACAAGACAAAGGCATTAACACCAGCTAGATCCATAATCCGGTAAAATATTGCCATGGGCCAACGCCGCGTTTTGCGAGTACATGAATAGATTGAGCACTTTTTGTCTATTTCATCGACTCCACCTTTGGTATGGTTATAATCAGTGACCATAGTAGGTTTTTTGGACTTTTCATCTATACTTTGAGCATGATGACACGATGAAATCAATATAACCGCTTTGTTTTTTTTTGGCGCGTAGGACAGTAAAGTATATTCTTTGGTGAACCCATATAGGGAGCTGTTCGGTTCCCTATCTTTGTTCGGTAAGAATTCTGGTGGAATCTCTGCCTTGTTCTTTTTTAAAGTTCCTAGGTACGTCAATTTCTTGGTTGTCAAAATTTGCATCAGTGGGATGGAACTGGACCAGTTATCAGCTGTTATATTTCTGTTGCTGTTTACAATAGGGTTCGACAGTCGGAGTACAGATTGAGTTGGAACTCCAAGTTGTTTTTCTGCTATTGGGAGGCCTTCCCCATCTGAATCTTTACCACAGTAAACATATGCATTATATGTGTAATATGTTTCAGCATCACATAAAACGACTACCTTTATCCCATATTTGGCCGGCTTTTTTGGCATATAAATAATGAATTTACACCGGCCTCTGAACGGTATAAGCATCTCATCAATACAAAAATTTGGTCCTGGGATGTAGCTTTGCTGACAGTTTATTATAAATTTGTCAAATAGATGTGATACAGCTGCCAATCTATCGGACTTCAAGCGTTCTTGACGGTCAGTTCCACTGTCAAACCTTATGCAGTTGAGTAAAGTACAGAACCGGTATTTAGACATCACACAGCGAAAAATCTCATGGCCAGTACCATCTGTAGCAAACATATAATTTGCGTCTGCATCATTGCATTTAAATACTGAACTGTAGTACAAAAGCCCAAACAAACTTCGGATTTCAGTTTCATTGGTATCTTTAAGCTCCTGTCTGTTGGTGTTGCGAAACCGCTCTCTATATGCTTGTAGTTTTTCATTGGTGTGTAAAATAATATTCGCTACCATTTCAGAATCGAATAATTTTGCCCAAAGATCTACAAAACTTTGAAAAACCAGGGGATCTGTTGACCGAGACATGTGAATTATATTATGAGCAGGAGTTCTGCTGGTTCGTGCTATTTCAGTCTTTGACCATATGAACCCATTTTTGCCAACATAGTTTGACACAACTTGGTCACGGTTCTGAGAGAGTAATGAGCTTAGTGGCAGGTTATTTTCCTCATCTTCGCCGTTATAAGGTTCACTTTCGCTCACCTCATCAACGTCTCCTTGACGTACTACGTTTTCCTCTTGTAGTTCCTGGTTATCATGACTGCCTTCTCGTCTTTCATTTTGCACCTGGTAGTCAGGATCTTCCAATGAATCGTCAAAATCACTAAACTCTGTTTCTTTTCCTAATTCTTGAAGCCAGGCTTCAATCTCCTCGTCTTTATTTTTAAACTTTCCCCTACAGTCCCGTTTTGAAGGTCTACCATCTTCCTTTTGCTCCGACATCTAAAAAAAGACAAAGAAAGAATAGTAAAAATAAGTATACGAATATAATTTATGACATGATGTCTGAGGGACACTATGCTGGTATCAATTTCTTATTGAGGTAACGACTGACAGACACCGAGTGTTATTGCTGTACTTACGTCTGTGAGACACCAACAGCTTGTAACGCCCAACGTGTGCACTGTGCGGCCGCCCGCGCTCGACTGTCCGCTGTCGCGAACCGTTTCAAGAAGGTACTAAGCGAGACAGAGTTATATCACGCCATATTGCGATCTGGCAACGTTTTATTTGTTAGAAGGTGTCTGATAGACTACCACCTCAGCCGCAGAAGGTTAAGTTACATGCATTCGCTATTTTTTTGTACTAAAATATGAAACTTAAATAAATACTCTGTAAAAGTAAACATTAATGATTGACCTCGTATCCAAACCTACCGAAACATACGACTTCAAACTTAAGGTGGCCATATTCGACCCGGGTACCTTATAATACTGTAACTAATTATGTTTACCACATTCAATGTTTTGATATTTACCATACTGACCTCTAAGTTTGACCGTTGAAGTCTTTGAAGTCTCTGAAACTATATAAATAAATAAATAAATTAGTGTAATATTCTCTCTGATCCCAAAGTAAGTAAATAAAGCACTTGTACTATGGAAATCAGAAATAACGACGGTACCAAGACCAGAGACAAAGTATAAAAATGAGTTTTCTACATCGACGACATGGCGACACCATGAAAATCGATGTACAAGCCACTCGTGTCGAAACATGTAAATCACCTATGCTCTATTAAATACTCAAATCAGCAGCAAAAGAATGATTGTTCTTTTCTAGCTCTGTTGGATTAAAATGTTGGTAAATGAGCCAAGCATTATCAGGTACTCAATGTGCCAGTCAAAGTTAGTCTGTTACCTAGAAGTATAAAGAAGTAGGTTTTCACCTAAGTTGAATAGTCACTCTTTG